GCGTGCTTTAACCCTAACCTTGATGCAGTCCCCACGCTCCATGTACGAGGACTTCGCGGCACTAGCGGCATATCATTCCGTTTCCCTGACGTTATAGCTCTGATACATAGCTTCAATCCGCCTGGTAGCAACTGTATCGTATCATGGTACATGGAAACTCGGGAGCTCAAAGCGCTGTTATAAAAGCAAACCACGGCCCCCCGTCCTCGCTGTTTCCGTCGTCGAAGAAACCTACATTATCCCACGTAACATCTGCGATCTCCCTCAACACATTATCAAGCGCCGGGAGGTACCGCGGGCACCCTTCGAACGCGACACGAAGCCGCTTCTCTCCCTTCATGCGCGCCCTTGCCACCCCTCTCAGCCCCTCCAGTAGAGGCGGAGGCGTGAAAGAGGTGCGAAAGCAGAAGCACATTCCAAAGCGCGATAGCGCCGGCAGGACGAAAGGAGTCAAGATCAACGCGTGCAAGGCGGCAGAGAGGCGTCCGCGGTGATCGATAATCTTCATCTCCTCGACGCAGGCGAGAGTTCGTAAAATATCCGTCCATCCCTGAGCAGAAGACGCGAGCTCAGAGTCTATGGTCAACGTCCGCACGCCGCTGACGGGTAACACCTCGCAGAGGTGCCTGTAAAACGGCAACACGTCCCGGACGTGCGGAATCGGTCTGAAAAGAGTGTGCGGCGACTTAAAAGTGACGCGCGCATCCGCCGTGGATCGTTCATACGGCGATGAGGAGTCCGTTCCCATTGCGGAGTCGTGCCACATGTGTGTGCTGTCGACCAGGGCGTATCTCGACGTGAGATCTGCATCTGTAATAGCGACGAAGGGCGAGAAACGTAGGCTTTGGAATTTAGCTCCTCCGTGGCTCCTTGTGAGAAGGGCACGGACGGCTGACAGTAGGCCCGTGGTCTTCCCAACGTCCGAACTTGCCTCGCAGTCTGAGAAGCTCAGATGCGTGAGACGAAGAGAGGGCGTCTCAAGGCTGGATAGTAGGTCAGCCAAGCGTTCGTCAAAGGCGGTCTCGATGGTGAGCGAGGTGAGGTGAGGCAGTCCCAGTGGTGTCCACGCATACGTGTGTGCGGTAGGAAGGGATGATCGCGCGATGATCATGTCTGTCTCCCTCACTGCAAACGAGCGAATGTTGGGCACCTCCCGCAGCAACGTGTGCAGCTCATGTGCCGCGTAGCACCCCTCGACGTCGATATCTTCGAGAGACGAGGACAGCGGAGTCCAAGAAGGATCGATGCGGGCCAAGAGCCTCCCCGACAATGTCAACGAGCGCAAATGAGGCGCATCCGGAAACAGCGACAGGCTCATTTTAGGCGCGCTTCTGTACATCGCCTCGTCACTGGAGTTATCGCGAGCGTGTGTCCGCAAACAAAACGTGGTAAGCTCGGGAGTCGGCGAGTCTACTAAGAGGTGAGGCACGATGTAGGTCATGAAGAACTCTGTTCCTTCCAATTTTAGACTTCGCATACGTTGCTGGTGGGCGAAGAGGCGCTCCAACGACGGCCACTGGTCTTCATGATGGTTCACGTGCAAATCGACCTCCAGCGGGATGGACCTCGAGCGCTCAGTGAACTCACGTATCCATGCACCATGGTAGTCGCCAATACATGACCACAGCAGGGGGTAGTCGAGACAAAGGGCCCGAAAGCGGCGGCAAACCCAAGTGATGGAAACCCAGTCGGGGATGCGGAGGGTCAGTGGATCGAGATCGCGAAGATGGAGGAAGATGACAATCAGGACGTCGTCAGGAAGACAGACCAAGGGCGCCTGGTCATTATATCGACGCGTGCTGTCGAGGGCCTCTGTAGTCCGCGTCTCCTGCGTACATTGCTGGCCCTCCGCGGCGACCTGCACGGCGTCATATCCCATAGCTGACGCGTCACTGTTGGCGTTGGGGGTATTGAGCTATGGCAACGGGCTACTTGGGGTACGTCGACAGATTGTGCCGCTCAGGGAGCGCAATATACTGAGATACGTCGAGATCACGACGAGCGCGAGTGGCAAGGACTGTGGCCAGCTTCACGCGCGAGGCCGCGAGGCCATTCGAAGCTCGGGCCGGACTTTCGCACACTTTGCAATACCGTATCAGGAAATGCTTGAGGGTTTTTGGATTCCTTTGGGCTATCTGAAGAAAGAAGGACCTGTTGAGTTCTATTCCCGCTACGCTAGTAGTGGGTCTTGGTGGCACGAACTCAACATCTGAAATGGCTGGCGTTTT